CGCCACTCTTAATGTATGATGTCGAAATCGTGAATTAAAAACAGCTGGATTGAAAAGAATAATGTTGATCAATGTGAAAATATCTTTTCGCGTGTTTGAATCACTCAATTTATATTGATTTCTAGCAAGAGCGATTAGGAATTCTGCAGCTGTTTGTCGTGCTTCTGACAAATTTGCCTTGTAATATTTAACACGTTGATTTTCATTCTCAATATTGACAGGATTTGATCGAAGCAAGTTTTGATATCGTAGATGAGGTAATGGAAATGGTTCGACACAAAGATAATCAGACAATTGAAGAACGTCTAGTAAATTTTCATCTTCTGCTAATTCATTGAATAATGTATGTGCTTGTTTACTAATAATTGAACAAAGAATCGGCATAAACCAACGATATTCAATTGGATAATTCAACACATATTCACCATTTTCATTTTCAACTGATAAAAAATGATCTTTATGTGCTATTAAAGCAGACAAATAACGAATAGAATGAAGTTGTTTTTCAGTAAGATGAACAAGTTTATCAGATGTACCAAAACGAAATTTATAGGTCACTGGATTTGTATCGGTTGTATTAGACGGTTCGGCCATTACTTACACTTTGATATGATGAAATATTTAACTGTGTTGTATCTATTATCAGTGCGTATTGCGCAACGAAGAATGGAAAAAACCGCTCGGTTTCATTTCTTTCTCCGTTCTGATAGTATGACTCATGGACCTGTGGGTTTTTTCCAAGTGCGATGGTATTATCGATGAAAATTTTGTCAAGAAAGTATCCAAAAACACAAAAGTGTGTTCTATATGAAATTAATAATCCTAAAAAAATCTGATTGAATATACTTGAATTGAATAATGATATATGTTAAGGACATCTTTGACGATTTAATCAAATAGTCAGAGACATGTTTCACTGATTAATTTTCATTGAATTTCTATTTTCTTTTCTTTTCACATCGAATTTAAAAAGTAAAATTTGATGTACATGTGCAAGAATAGCCCCACTATCAATAATTATATACACGGTTGGAAAAAATATTATTCAAAAGAGATAACGCTATAGTTTCAAATAGAAGATATGATGAATTTTATACCAAATGAAAGCTTGTGAAAAATGGGGTTTATTGATGCTAAATAGTAAGGGTTATGTAAACCTTTTAAAATCGAACTTAAGAAATTTTATACATTTTTGGGGGTGGAAAAAGAAGGTGCTAGTAATTGAAAAATGGAGTAAAATGTTTTTCTTGGATATTTTTACATGGTTCGAT